TTTTCCATTGCAGTAAGGACAGTATAAATAGTTTTATTTTAAATAGAATCCTACTCGTCTATAATAGTTTCGAATTTTGATAACAGATGGCGCGCTAATGCATCATAATATATATATTATATTTGTGCAATGAGAGAATGGTATATATAAAGATCTCAAAATTTTAAAAAAGCTGACCAAACGGTATTTAAAGACTGTTTCTTTAGGGATGAGTCAACATGAGTCCCTATCTTGAAAGATAGGGAATCTTGTCGGTATTAAAAGATTATAAAAGTTTGACATATCTCGCAAATATTTAAATAGTCTTGAATATTATTTATTCCTGACTGGAGTAGATTGAAGATGACCACTCACACAGTTCCAATGACAGGATCACGGCAAAGTTTTATGAGGCGAAACACAGGGTAATTTTAAGATGGCTTGAAATTTCAAGATGGAGATTCAAATTTAATGTGGTTATTTCACGGAGATATGGCGCGTTGATAGATGGAAGTTTCTTCTATAATTTACCCAGAATATGTAAATATATTCATTCGTATATCTCCTCGACCCTTTATTCATGTATACATTCGTCTATTCTAAGTTTTCTCTTCGTATATAAAGTCTCTAATTTGCATTGAACCAAATTCAAAATGTCATAGATGTAATTAAAACATAATTTCTGATTGCAACGATGTAATTTTTTAAACGAAAAGTATTTATTGAATAATAGACACTCTCTCTCTCTCTTCGGCCAAAAAAAGTTTCATTTTATCAACGTTCCGACGAAAATATTTTGTTCTTGTCAAGAAAAATGAAAATAAAGCATTTAGCAAGGCTATTATTATTTTACCTAACGTGGATGAAAGATTTTTGTCGAATAATTCAGAAAATTAAACTTTTTTCTGTCCGAAGTGTTACTTATTTAAGAAATGTGGATGCTGGCCAGGCAACCTCTTTCTTCAAGAAAACGAAAAATGGTGCAAAGAATCTCCTTGGTTTATATACTTGCAACATTATTGCTACGTGGCGCTCAAACGAGGCTATCCATCCACCACCTGTGGGCTGGGAGTTGGATGGACCAATCAGAGTAAGAAGCCATCTAACCAGGGTGAAGTCTTACTCCCTGTTGTTGAGCTGTTGGATGATGTATTTTACTTGTTCTCCATAATACACGAAGGTTAATAAAGATAAGTCGAACAGAGATCCTAACCGCGTGCCTATTTGACCAATCTTGACACAACAGAGCGACGTGAAAATTATATATTTTACCTTATTAATTGCATACATTGAATCTGTTCGAACCTCGGAATTTCCTGTTTATTTGTCACAGCCTAATCATAAATTTTATTATTTTATTCGTACACAACACAGAGAGTAAATTTTATTTGAAGTTTGTATTTATAAATCATATTGAAAATACGTGTTTCGGAAATATTTAGCTTTAAGAGATCTGACAAGATTACCTTCTAATTGTAAATTTCAAGGGCATAAGCGGTTTCGCTAATTTAATCTACCAGAACTCTTCTTAGACCTCTAATACTGTATTGGATGATTCCGCTTACATATACTTAAACTGAAGGGTGGAATCTTAGAAATAGTATTCAGTCAAACTGGGGGCATTAGCTTTTAGGGCAGTAGAATTACATTCAAGTTGTTTAATCGAGTAATGCCCTTCCGTAAACAATAAGGACAAGACCAGTTAGACATAAATTAATACAAATCAATAACACACCGTTTATATATCGTCCCTACAACTGCAAACTATCGAATGTGAAAAATTCAATTTTGAAGGAGAGAGAAATGAAGAGACCATGTGGCCTACCCTCAGTAGAGGAAGGCATTGAAGGAGGGAGAAATGAAGAGACCATGACAAAAAAAATCTCCTTCAAAATTGAATTTTTCACATTCGATAGTTTGCAGTTGTAGGGACGATATAGGGAATGAAATGAAGAACATTAGTACTCGACATCTGTGGTTTGCTCATTCCATTTTATCACTTATTCACATGTGATGTTGATGCTTTAGCAAAAGGAGAGAAGAAAAGAACAAATATACGAAATAAACTCTGAGAGAAGAATTGCAAAGGCAATAACAAGACTCAAAAGTAAACACTATAAATGAATGACATTAGATCAATGGCACAAGAACCTACAGGACAACTGTCCTGGTGTGGAACTAACACCTACTCACATATTCTCATGCCCAGAAATAACCGCAGCCTTGAAGAAATTGACATGGACCCAGAACAGCAGCTTCACATACTAAAAATAGAGAACGACCGCTGTGATAGAGATGCATGGAGACATCTGAGGCTCTTCATTGGACACAACAACAACTTATTCACACAAACGTCATCACGTGACTCTATTAAAATGGAGTTGTGCAACACCGAACACAATTCCTTCCGCAATATTGATCTCACAACGCCGCATGACACCGTTGTACTTATACAATAGGATTTCATATTAATAGAAATATATTTCTCCTTGGAATTCTTCCAATTGTGTACTTGCAGTGAAACTACCATTGTATGAATTCTCTTTTATATACATACTCTTAGAATTATTACCATTTTATATAAAAAAAAGAGGGAGATCATAAATTTTCATTAAAATTGATATAAAATGTTTATTTTTGATCTAACTTTATACACAGTAAAAAAAACTCTCTCTAATGAAATTGAAAAAAATTGGGATCATTTTAGTAAGATACCTCTGATATATAGATTTTAAAATTTAATGTCACATAACGCTTTTTTGTTAAAGATAGAGGCCTTCGGTATAAAGAAAATTCTTATATATAAATGTATATTTCTTTTGAAAATAGAGCAATCCATATATAAATCTTTAATTAAAAATGCATATATTGGATCAAAATATCATTTATTTTATCAATATTTCAGTTGTCTAAAAGCCAACCTTTATCAAGGTGTTATAACATATTAATGCCTGAGACCTTGATAAAGCTTGGCGTTCAGCCAACTGAAATATTGGTAAAATAAATGATATTTTTGATCCAATATATGCCTTTTTTTATTATAGATGTATATATTCAAATTTATAACTTGAACAAACAAAAGTTGTTATACTAGAATATGCGTATAAGGTTTTTCTTTTCAAATTTAATGTACAAATATTGTGTCTATAGATGGACATTTTGCCAGGAGGATATTGATCTAAAGAGACTAGGGTGACCTCTCCCGTCAAAATAGACGTCATAACCAGACGCCATCTATTGACCGTCGCCGCAAACTAGCGGCCTCGGGTCAGTAACAAAGCTGGTGTTGTGGCTTTGTCACCGACCTGAGGCCGCTAGTTTGCGGCGACGGTCAATAGATGGCGTCTGGTTTTGACGTCTATTTTGACAGAGAGGTGTCCTTTGTCTCTTTATATATTGTGTTTGTTATCGAAATTTTTCGTTATAAAGAGTTCTGTTAGAGATAACGATTTCAAATTTAAAGTGGACAAACTATATTGTTTATAGAAAAAAAAAAGGTTTTAGATTTCAATTTTATAGTACAAATATTTGTGATTCAATACCTATTTGTGAAAAATGTTTGAAAAATAAAAAAATATTTTCTTACTTGAGTTTGTTTTATTTTAAAATGCTTGCTTTCAAGTGATAATCGCTCTTCAGCGGGCTTAGTTAAAATATCGAATAAGTCCGTTGAAGAGCAATTATCAATTGAAAGCTTGTAGTTTTTAAACAAATATATATGTAGGTTATAGATAGATTATCGTTTTCAATTTAAATATATAAATTGATTTGAAATTTGTAACATATAAATTTACTGGCAATGTGTTTCTTTTCAATAATATCATCAAATATTATCTCTACAGACCTTACTGCAATGATATAGGTTATTGAATGAGTGGCAATGTGTTTTTTTTCAATAATATCATCAAATATTATCTCTACAGACCTTACTGCAATGATATAGGTTATTGAATGAGTGGCAATGTGTTTCTTTTCAATAATATCATCAAATATTATCTCTACAGACCTTACTGCAATGATATAAGTTATTCAATGAGTGGCAATGTGTTTCTTTTCAACAATATCATTAAATATTATCTCTACAGACCTTACTGCAATGATTATTGAATGAATGAGAAGGCTTGGCTTATCAGTAGTGAACTCTCTCAGCGGTTTCACCAAATTAATCTCTAGACCGCTCTACTATTGTATTGGCGAAACCGCTGAGAGGGTTCACTACTGATGAGCCAAGAGAGAGCCCCTCATTCATTCAATAATCATTTCAGTAAGGTCTGTAGAGATAATATTTTATGATATCATTTAAAACAAAAACATTGCCTAGAAATTTATATGTTACAAATTTCAACGATAGATGGCAATTAAATTTATATAAAATGATTTATTAGTTTTATAGAAAGGTTTTTGATATAGAGTAGTGTTATTTTTATTATTGCACTCTTCAAATTTTTATAAGACCGAAGTGGTTCTTGTAAAACCCGTGATGGCGATAGATGAAGTGAATTCCAATAATTCCCTTTATGGGAGAAATTCTATCGAGTCACCAGCTCAGGTTGATCAAGTTCCTGCTGTACTTTGTGCACACCGTTTATCACTAATATGCTGGGAATGTACAATAACAAAATATTGTCGCGGAGATAAATAAAGCAAGGGCAAGTTTGGGGATAATTAATTTATTATAAGGTGTATTGATAGGGAGAGAGAGAGAGTCAATACAACTTACCCCAAGACAGAGTTAATCCTAATGAGGGACCTCAGCTCCCCCCGCCGGCCAGATTTCCCAGAACCCCTCACACCCGGTGTCCAGCGATGATTGACAGACGTCCCATGGGGCCTCTCGTGATTGGAGCCGCTTAGCTTCTTGACAATAGGTAGAACAACATTTGAAAATTATCCCGCATGTGTTTTTTTTTTGAACGAAAAATCGAAATTTATTTTAAGGAGAAATAACGACTATTTCCAACCTTAGGGATGAAGTATGAAAGGATGATTTGTGAAGAGTAATGATAAACGGAAAATAAAGTGTCCAGGGATGGGAATGGGACATGGCATCTGCCCGGTAAGCTGAACACTGTGGGTTCGATTCCCATCCCTGGACACTTTATTTTTCCATTTATCATTACTCTTCACAATTCATCCTCTCATACTTCATCCCTAAGGTTAGAAATAATCGTTATTTCTCCTCAAAATAAATTTCGATTTTTCGTTTAAAAAGAAACACATGCGGGATAATTTTAACATATCGTTCTACAATCATAAGCCGCATTATATTGTATTATAAATAACAAAATAATTTACATAATTACTAATTATATCCTGAAGATAGAGGCTACCTGGCCGGCATTCATGGAGCATTTTATTTTATTAGAAAAAGTGGCCAATGCGGGATTCGATCCCGGATAGTAGCGGTTGAAAACCAATGGTTCAGATCATCCTTCCACCGACCCCCAGTTTTACTATAAAGCTGAACAAAAGGGGCAAAGTGCTATAGCAGCTAATAAGGGTGTAGACGGCGATGGCCATAGAAGGATATTTATTGAGGATGCAATGACCATTTATTTGCTTATTGCTGAACGGAAATGAGCTATAAATATTCCCTGCTATAACGGTTTATTGTGGTAGGCCAATTTGGAGGTAGCCAGTACCTATTGTAGGGAGTTTGATGTAGAATAGTCTGTTGTATGGATAGCGTAATACCGTATATTTGATATCAAATACTGGACCTAATGAATTACTCGGCTTTGACCGAATTCTTTTCGAGTCAATACTTGCCTAACGAATATTGTTTTAAACAAAAACCTACTTTTAATATCCTGAAGATTAAGGCTGCCTGGCCGGCATTCATATTTCTGTGAAAAATAGACACTTCGGCCAGTTAGAATTTTTTTATTTAAAAATTCTAACTGGCCGAAGTGCCTGTTTTGCACAGAAATACTTTTATTACATTATTATAATTAAATAACTATAGTTGTATTATATATTATAGTAAAATATAGTATATATTATATCAAATAGTGATAGGAATCTGTCAATATACCTTCATTCTCATTTTGAACTCAAAAATACCTATGTATTTTGGTATCAGAATAATTTGTGTATGCCCTGAATGTCAATACGTGTGTATTAAATATTTACATAAATATATTTTTTTCTGAATATAGAGCAATCTATATTTAATTCATTAGATAATAAAAAGGCATATATTGGATTAAATAAATCCAGCCAACCGAAATATTGGCAAATAAATATATTATTCAATCCACTATATGCCTTTTTATTATATAAATATATAAATATATATAAGTTATAATAAATTTCAGAGAAAGGAATCGATAGTTTGAGGATAGAATTATTAGTTTTGCTTTTTTTGATACATGAGAATTTTATGTTATATATTGTTATAATATATATTGCTTAGATAGATATTATTTGCTTGAGATTTTATATTGATAATTATTGAGAATTTTCTTGATTTTGGAATACATAAGTATTATGGTATTGCTATACAGTCTTGGAAAAATAATAAAACAGTTTAAAATTACAATTTTCTTCAATTGTGATGATTAAAATAATCATCATAAGGCGTGAAAAATAAACAAAGTAAAATATTACGTATTAACACAACTACAGAAAAATTTGAACCGGTCAACGGGAAACAACAACAACATCAATATACGTCCAAATTTGAACAGGTTACACTAATACCGGGTACTTCGCCCGCTCAAGTCTATCTGCGGACTTTTCCATCTGAAGAAGATTCAGTTGTGGATCTGGTAAGTCAAGAGGTGAGTCCCGGATATGTACAGATAGTTAAAGAAAGGTTATGGAAGTATAAATAGGAAGGGTACATTAGTGTTATAATACAATTACAAGTTCATTCACAAGGAACAGAAATATCTTTTTTTTCCGGGGTTGCTAACCAGAATGAAAAAAAGGTAATAGCCTACAGCACCCGGTGTTCCCAGGTGGTCACCCTCCCAAATACTGACCGGGCCCGACATTGCTTAACTTCGGTGATTCATGCACAAGGTCCGCCGTGCCAATTATTCCGCCTTCTACATGCTAGTCAGTAAGCATTTTAAGGCTCTTATGAACACAGGGACAACACATGCAAACAGCCCGCTGCATCTGGAAACAGCGCGCCGCCTGCGAGGGAACCAAGGAAGCGCCAAGCACACCTAGAGCTCCAAAGCACCCAAGGCTTTCAAAAATAGGGGATCATCAGAGATCAGAAGTCTGGCTATGTCTAAGCACAAGGTCCGCCAGTGAGTTTATATGGGGAAGGCCGCGACATCTGGCGGTCGACTTTACAGAGTAGTTTGTTTTAGAATGTACTAGTATAATTCAAAATTAAATAAAACTATACATATCTATGATAATTTAAACCAATAACCCTATATTATGTAATACGTATAACAAGCTTGTCATGTTGTATATAGAACTAATTATAAACTACAACTAATTATACGCATAATTGACATGTCTCCTTGCATCACCAAATGTAATGTACTGAGGATGAATAAATAAAAAACTATATAATAGATTAAAAGCTGAGTTAAGAGCCAGAGAGAGATTTACAAAGTAACTTCTAAAGATAGATTGTTAGCCGCCAGCCTGGCGCCATTCTCGAGTAACATTGACACGTGTATGACCCAATTCTCTTAGTCAGAGCGGTCGTATAAAAAGGCCGCGTAGCAACAGCCAGTAGAGTTCAGTTCCAGAGTTCCCCATCTGCGTGTCGCCGGTTGTCACCAACTCATCGACGATGTAAAACAGTAAGAAACCTTCTCAATCTCCATCTTAGCTTTTGGCTCGCTTTTTATCTATTCAAGGAACCTTCTACAACGTGTCGCTTCGTTTTGTGTGTGTCCTTACCACCCATCGCTCAACAACCACGACTGCACGACTGCTTCTAGCCAACATGCCACACTGCATTCATCTAACAGGGTAAAACTACTACATTATTACATTATTACAGAGAGTCGACTGGATTCTACAAAAGGCTTACCAAACCTCAACACAATATCACAGATAGTCGACAGGATTACCACAACGAAGGAGACCACAACGAAGAAGGTAAAGACTGTCCAGATAGAAAAGAGCCAAGAAGCAAGATGGAGGAGCAAACCAACCCGTCCAACGATACAGCCGAACAAACTATCCCCAAACAAGAAACGACATTGGAAGAGGAGGAAACGGCGCCGCCCCAAGATACCTCCGCAGACCCACTGACACAGATCGCCGATGCCCTGAGTAAGTTGCTGGTAGCCCGATCTCCTAGGGAGATAGACGTAAGTCCATACGATGGTACTTTTGAAGCCCAAAGCTTTTTCGACAACTTCGATGCCCAAGCAGACCGAACTGAACTGACCTACACAGATCGCCTACGCAAATTACCCTGCTACCTACAAGGTAAGCCCCTCCAATATTTCCGAAGCCTACGGTTAGATAGGTTATATTATATTGAAGCCCGCCAGAGATTGATAGACTTATTCCCAGCAACGACAGAAGCGTCGTTTGCACGCTTTTTGGCAATCAAAATGACACCCCAAATGTCCCTAGAAAACTACTACCAAAACAAAACTGTTATGGGTATGAAACTCGACCTACCCGCCGACATTTTAATTGAATCTCTGACCGACGGCCTACCCGTCGCAGACCAGCGATTAGTCGCAACTGTGCAGCCAAACACCATTAAGGAATGGTTCGACCTAGTGTCAAGAATAACTCAGTGTGCCACCAGTGCAGTGAACCAGCGCCAAGTAGACAAGGCTCCACACCCCACCTACCACAACCCACCACCGCGGTACAACAGCCAGCGGCCATCACGTGTAACATACACAGTTACACCTCCCCCCTCGCCTTGCAAGTATTGCAATGCCATGCACTGGCACTCCCAGTGTGAACGACGGTTCCCACGGGACCAAACACGCCCAGTCTACAGCGCCCGACCACACACAACCACTGTACCAAAACGTGGTACCCACACCCAGCCCAAGGTCCAACCTCCGAGCCATGTTCCCCAAGTACAAGCTGCAAGCCCAGACGACTCTGCAAGCCCCGCGAGCAGCTCAACGGTAGGAAAACCTGAAACTTATTTTCGTTGAACGATTAATAATATGGACTGAATTGTCACCAAATGTAAACTTGCCCTTTTTAATAGACACGGGAGCATCTATAAACCTACTTAACTTAGATATTTTAAGAACCATAGAAAATAGATTACCCTATAAAATTATTATCCATCAGTACAGTTTAACTATAAATGCAATAGCACACAATGTAAATACCCTTGGATATATTTTTTTAAAACTTAAAATCGGTAACCTCACCCAAAAACTAAAATTTTTTATAGTAGAAGCCTCACTACCTTTTGGTATTTTATCTATTAATACCCTTAAAATATTTAAATTAATTATAGATTTTAATAATCTCCAAATTTATCAAAATAATGATGCTCTCCCAACGAATGTCTATAAGTTCACCAAGTGCAAACAGGATTTATGTTCCACTCAACCGAGGGAAACTGATATGTTTACCACTTTCCCCTCGCACCAGTCCTGTTTACACGTGGCGGACTCTACTCCAATTATATGTTCACCCCCTATATCTCCTACCCATGATATTGAGATTTCTATACCTTCTAATGCGGCACCTCAGTTAGAACATTGTCCACACGAACTCCACCGAATTCTATATGAATTCTCACAAGTGTTCTCTACTAATAAATACAATGTGCCCAAATTGAACATACCACCGGTAAAAATCAATACCACCACAGATAAAATAATAGCATTACGCCCATATAGAGTGCCACTACACGACCAACAAGAAATACAAACCCAAATAGAACAAATGCTCCAATATGGAATCATTGCCCCGTCAGTTTCACCTTATGCCAGTCCCATAACGCTTGTTACCAAACGTGACCAAACGAAACGTTTCTGTATTGATTACAGAAAACTTAATGAAATCATCGCTCCAGACGTACATCCTTTACCCTTAATAGAAACCATTCTTGACAAATTGTCAAAAGCCAAATATTACTCTTCTGTAGATATAGCATCCGCATATTGGCAAGTGGAAATAGAACCTAACT